CCAACACCTGACCCTTTATAGCGGTTCGAGATTTGAAATGAATGTCGTGTTCCCCAGCTCCACTGCCCACTTGAAAATCCTTCTAGAGAGGTCTGTCTTCCTCAAAATGGCCTTTAAAGGCTGATCGGTAAGGACGGTAATTGGGTGCGCCTGAAAATAATGCCTTAGTTTTCTTGCAGTTGTGACCAGGGATAGAGCCAGTTTCTCTAGGGGCAAGTATCTTGTCTTCGCGTCCAAGAGTGCCTTGCTTATGTAATAAACCGGTTTCTGGCAGTACTCATGCTCACGAATAAGTACCCCGTTGACGACAAATTCTGATGCGGATAAGTACAAGAAGAGCATTTCTCCCTAGACAGGGACGGATAGGGTCGGGAGAGTCCTAAGGTATTCCTTGATTCCTGTCAGGGCGCCTTTGCACCCTTGGCTCCACATATCCTTCCCGGCCCCCTTCATGGCTTCAAAAAAGGGTTTGCATTTGTCTGAGGAGCGCGAGATGAAACGGTTAAGTGCTGCTAGCATCCCCGTGAGCTTTTGGACTTCTCGGACAGTTCGGGGGCTTCGGACATCTAGGATCGGTTGAATCTGATCCGGGTTAGCTTCTACTCCTCGCTAACTTACCAGATATCTGAGAAATTTACCTGACTCCACTCCAAAAATACACTTTGCGGTGTTCAGCTTCAGCCCATACTCCCTGAGGGTGGAGAAGGTATCTGCCAAATCCACCAGGTGGTCACAGCTTCGTTTGCTCTTCACCAACATATCATCAATGTAGACCTCCATGGTGTTGTCGATCTATTTTTTGAACATCCGATTCATCAGTCTCTGGTATGTTGCCCCGGCGTTCTTCAGTCCAAACGACATCACTTTGTAACAGTAAACTCCCCTTGGAGTGATAAACGCCGTTTTTTCTTGATCCGGGGGATGGAGAGGGATCTGGTGATATCCAGCTCGGGCATCCAAGAAGTCTATGCGTTGATATCTGGCAGTGGCATCCACTAACTGGTCCACCTTTGGCAGAGGGTAGTCGTCCTTGGGACATGCATTGTTTAGATCAGTGAAGTCTACGCAGACGCGCCATTTTTCCCCTTTTTTCTTCGCGCAGACCGTGTTAGATAGTCATTCTCGAAACTGTACCTCCCGAATGGCATTGGCCTCTAGGAGTTTATCAATCTCTTTGTTGACCGCCCGGGCGTGGTGCGAAGCCATGCGTCGTGGCTTCTGTTTTACTGGCTTGTGCGCTAGGTCAACATGCAGCTTGTGCGTGATTATTTCGGGGTCCACTCTCTCATCTCCATTGCGTTCCAAGCGAACACGTCTGCATTTTCCCTCAAGAAGTCAATCATCCCCTCCTGTTCGGCTACGGGCATCGCGGTTCCAACCAAGAAGTACCTTTCCTCTTCACCCTTCACCAAGGGCACCTTTCGGAGGTCCTCCACCAACCGTTTCGTCGGGTCAATTCGGGGGTCATCCATTCCTGGACGACTGGACTGTGATTGCTATTTTTTTAGGATCTCTTCCGGAGCGCGCCCCTTCTCTTGGGTGAAAACCCCCGTTCTTACAGCCGAGTAAAAATAGTTCTTTGCGGGACGCTTGATCCCCTCGGATCTCCATGATCCTTTTCGGTATAGCAAACTTTAATTTTTGGTGATAAGTGGAGTGTACCGCTCCCAGGGCATGCAACCATGCCCGTCCCATGATCACATTATAGGGAGAGTCCATATCGATCACCACAAACTCCGTATTGATGGTGAAGGGACCCGTGACAACTGGCAATGTGATTTTGCCTATGGGCAAGGCGAATGAGCCGTTAAATTCGACGAGGGGCGTCCTGACTTTAGTAAGGTCCTTGAGGCCAAAATCCATCCGCTTTAAAGTATTTAAGTACATCATTTCCAAGGAACTCCCAGAGTCTACCAACACCCTCTTGACGTCGAACTTGCCTATCTTTAGAGTTATGATCAGAGTGTCGTTATGGGGAGTCACCATGCCCGCTAAGTCCGCGTCGGAGAACGTGATGTCCGGCTCGCCAATCCTAGTCCTTTTGCTAGGCGGCACCCCATCACTCTCGACAATCTTTCTCGTAAATGCTACTCTCTTGAGATCGAACTCGAGTTCCTTGGACGTCAGGCGATCTAGTGGATATACATGAATCACGTCTATGACATTGTCTAGCTCCCCGGCCGGGGCAGGGGCGCGTCTCTCTTCCGACTCGGGTTCTATGTATTCTTTTAAGTAGCCATCCCGGACCAACCTTTCCAAGAAAGACTTGTATACTCTGTAACTTTCGATGTGATGGCTGAAATCCCGGTGATAGGAACACCTGACCTTTTGATCACGGGTGGAGGGGTCGCTCTGCATTCTGGGCAGCCACTTGAAGAATGGTTCATGCTTGATCTTGTGGAGCAACTTGTAGATGGGTTCTTTGAACATAGTCTGAACACCTTTGAATGACCCCCCCGGAGGGGGTAGCAGCCCATTTCGAGAAGTATCCCCCCGCTCCCTCTCTTTTCTCTTAGGTTGGAGGGTTCTGCCTTTGTTGCTCCCCATTTTGTCCTCGATACTAGAGTATTTTTTTATCCGGGCCATCAGCTCGCCCATATCCGAGGGAGTCTTTTTAGTCAGGGATCGGTACAGGTCCGTGTCCCTTGCCAAGCCAAGTCTGAAAGATGCCGCTGCCATGACTTTCGAACACCCCTGCACCTCATTAACCTCTTCTCAGTACCGGATGGCGTACTGGCGAAGGGTCTCGGATTTCCTCCGTCTGAGCGTCAATAATGATCCAACGTCTTTAGGCCGCTTACTCCCCGTAATGAATCGGGCTAGGAACTGCCTCGTCAAATCTCTCCATGATCCAATGCTGTTGGGGGAAAGAGCCTCGAATCACTTCATCGCGGAGTCCCCCAAGCTCATGGAAAATACTCGGCAGAGGAGCTGTTGGTTCAAATAATACAGGGACATCATTTGTTTGTACTACCTGAGGTGAGCTTTGGGATCTGATCGCCCATTGTAAGTTTTAAATCTTGGCACTACGAACTTCCTTGGTACCTCCATCTCTCGGATATCCCTAATAAAAGGCGATTGTATGGTCTCGTCTTCAGCGTCATCCTGGACAGTCCTACCCTTTCTCCTAGATTCCAACCGAGCTCTGAGATCAGTTTCCACCCCAAATAGATGTCTTGTGAGGTCTCCGAGTTCATTGACAGGGCCCCCTTTTCTCGGCGTCGCGTGGAAAGGGTTGAATCCTCCTTGGACTCGTCTTCCTTCCTCCTTCTTAACAGTCCTCGCCGAAGGTCGTCCAGGGCTAAAGGCCTTGCCTTCCTGGAATGGTCGTCGAGGGGGTGCTTGTTGGCTCTTGGGCGTTTTGGGGCCCTGGAGCCTTCAGTCTTGTTATTTAAATTATTCCTCAGGTCCTCAGTTTCTGCTTCTCAAGCGAGGAGTCCACGAGAAGGGAACGAGTCCCTCGACCCTTCGCTTGAGGCGACGAATTCGTTGAGCCGGCTTATGACGTTCACATTGTCTTTTTTCAACTGTCGTAATTGATCCTCAAATTTTTCTTCGATCACCTCCGCCAGTTGAAGAGCCAAGGGGGCGGATTCTCCTGACCTGATGCCCATACTGGTTTGAGGAGTAAGCCCCCTTGACTGAATAGAGACATTTATGTTGTCATCAGCGTGACCCTTCCCTCCATCATGACGAGGAGCTTGCAAATCGAGACTTCTTTACTGGGGACCTTTCCCTTTCTGTCGAGTATTCACCATGGTCATTGTCCTTTCTAGAGAAGAAACTAGGAAAAACTAGTCGTTTTTCACAGACGGTGCCAGATTGTGCGTGCAGAATTTTGCACAATATACACACAAGAACAGATCTCTCCCGTGGTGAACACGAGTCAGTCAATCGAATGGTCAGCTTTGTTGTTTGGAACAGTGTGAGATCCGATGGTAGCCTAAAACGGTAATGGGTGACTTTTGTGGGTCATCGGGGCGGTCCAGTAAGACTAAGGGAGGTTCTTGAAACAGAGAAAAACGAGTTAGGAGGGCGGCAGAGTGTTTTCTGGTGTATCCCCTCCGACGATCAAGTTAGTTCTTTGAGAGAGGGGAAGAAGAAAACACTGTGTATGTGTTTGAGAAGAGGTTTTTTTGTACCGTCTTGCCTTTTGTGAGGAGTATTTATACCTTCAAAACTCATAACTGCTATTAGTGTGGTCAGTAGGTGATCATTAGAGGTGGGTAACGTGCATACTGGTCTTCAGGAGAAATGACCTCTTTCTTAACTGCTCGGGATCCCGAGCAACCAATACATCATCCTCGGTCTGTCAAACATTTAATGACCCTCACTCGGCAGGGATGTATTAAATGCTCAGTCACAGGAGCATTTATTGCCTTTTATTTCCTCGTTATTACGCGTTAAATTATGTCTCATCAAAAGAAATGTGCATTAAATACTTGCTTTCCCAAGTCGTGTGTCAGCAAGGGCGTTCTGGTCTTTTTGTCCCTAAATTGACACAGTATGTCACGCGCCGGCCCCCTTTGGTTGAGTCTCTGCTTTCCTGTGCGTTCTGACACCATCCAAGTAGGACCAGGTCATGATGGCTAATCTAGACTAGCCCAGACTGATGTCCTGTCTATCAACAACCTTGCAGGAATGAAACGCCGATGTAGTGGATACATCTCGGTGCTGAGGGCCTAGTACGGTTAGGGACCGACGTACCCCTATTCGACCGAGGAATACGTGTCGAACCCCCGTTCAAACCGGCGTCGTAGGTCCTTATGCCTAGTACCTCCTCGGGGGAAGGGGGGGATCATGGCTCCGACGAGCACGTATCGTGACCACAACAGAGTATTTTTCTTGACGCCGAGTACACGTGTTACTTATCTCGGACTGAAAATGTCCCATCACCAACATAATCTTTTCTGGCTGTCCCCCTTCTCTCTCTCAGTCACGCACAATTTCTACCTACAAATCACAAACCCAGATGTCCCTTCGGGTTTGACTCCTCTGCAATGTCGGCATCGGCTACCAGTTCGCCATTCTCCGGAACGATGTCGTCCGGTGGTTCTTCAGAGATTTTTGGAGCTACACTGTCTAGTGCTGCTTTGTAGCCGTTTGGGACGTCGAGTTTGTTCAGAGATGCTTCGTCACCGTTTGGGACGTCGAATTTGGTCAGAGATGCTTCGTCACCATTTGGGACGTCGAATTTGTTTGATGTCAAATTCTGTGTTTACCTTGTAGTAGCTCCAAGCTTCGAAACTCTACCTTGTCAATGGCGAGGCAGGTGGTGATGAATGGCGGCGTGATAAGTCCGACGCTGATAGCTGCCGAAAAAATGGGCTTTTATGTCGTATGGAGTGTTCGGAATGGTGATTGAGTTTTCTGGGTTTTTTGTGTTTTGTTTGCATGAGACGAAGGTGATAATCTTTGTGATACAATGGAAGAGTAATCTTTGCCGCCAATGAGTATGGGTCTTCGATGAAAAGGAGTTTCACTATTCTGTTTCACCAACCATTTACATCATTATTCAACTTCACAAACCATTCAAGAGGTTTCGGCTATGTCCAAACTGCATCATTTCAGTGTTTAATTAATGATGTAAACCTCTTGAATTGTAGTTGGTGAAACAGAACATGGACGAACCTCTTGAAATTGAACGAAATAGTAAGTCCCAATTGTAGTTATAGTCCTCCGAGCTTAGTCGTTGCCTTTAAAATTCACTATCTTCATTGATTTATTTCAATGAGAGAATCTTACGAGAAAATGCACAACTTTCTATCGGTTTCAAAAATTTGTAATTTGCTATTTTGAACTTGTTCACTGTCCAATAATGATGTTGAGAAGGTTTACTAATTTGTTTATTGTGTTGAATTTGTTCACTGTATTTAATTTGTTCATATTTGTCTTCTTTTTATGGGAAAATTTAATTATACGAGTTATTTTAGTGTCAATGTTGATTCCTTAATTATTGGTAATGAAACTGAAAATCAAAGATGGAATTTCTATTTTGTTATTGATTGTAATTCATTGTTTGTGAAAATTTATATAGTGAACTAGGAATTTTATTCTATTAAAGTTTATTTGTTTAAAATTTTGGACACTATTTATTAAAATTACTGTTTATGAAATTTTTTTAAACTAGGAGTTTCATTTTATTAAAATTTATTGTTTTTTGAGTTGACTGTTTTTGTTTTTTTTAATATTTTTGTAGTTCATTATTTGTGAAAATTTTGAACAGTGAACTACATTGTATTAAAATTTGGGGAGTGTTTTTAGTTCACTTTTTGAGGGTGCCTTCACACTACCTCCAAGTCCACGACCATCCTCAATCTTTCACTCCCATGAAATTTCATTTCTATTAAAGTTCACCGATTGTAAAATTTTGTTAAACTAGGAGTTTCATTCCTTCAAAACTATTTTTGGAGTTGACTGTCTATGTTTTTTTTTTTCAATATTTTTTGAATTCACTATTTTTCATATATTTATATTTTTTAATTCAAATTTTTAATAATTTCGTAGCACACTATTTGTGAAAATTTTGGATAATGAACTACATTGTATTAAAGTTCAAAGAGTGTTTTTAGTTCACTGTCCTGAGTGTGCCTTCACACTACCTCCCAAGTCCACGACGACCCTCTATCTTTCACCCCTTATAAAGTTTCATTTTATTAAAGTTCACTGTTTGTAAAAAATTTGTTAAATTAGATATTTTATTCTATCAAAGTTCACTATTTTTAGAGTTCTCGTTTTATATTTTTTTTCAATATTTTTTGAGTTCACTATTTTTCATATATATATTTTTCAATTCAATTTTTTAATATTTTTGTACTTTATTGTTTGTGAAAAATTTGGCGATGAATTGGCGACGGTGGTGATGGTGGACAACAGTTATGGTGGTTGCGGTGGAGATGGTGGTGTTGGTGGTAATAGACTGTGGTGGGCCGTAGTGGTGGTGGCATGATGGTGAGTGGTAGTGGTGGGGGTGATGGCAGTGAATAGTGGTGGTTTTTGGTGGCTTTGGGGAGGTGGTAGTAGTGGACGACGATGGTGGTGGCGATAGTGAATGGTGGGGTTGGGGCAGTGATGACTAATGGTGGCAATGGGTAATGGCGGGTGGTGGCGGGTTATGGCAACGGTGGGTTGTGATGGTGGTGTTGGGTGGCTATGGTGGGTGGTGGGGGTAGTGGGTAGTGATAATGCAAGTGGTGGTGGGTCATGGTAGTAATGTTGGTTATGGGTAATGGTAGTGAGTGGCCACAAAAGTCACTGGCGGATCCACAGTGGGGGCAGCTGCCTCCACTGGAATTTTAAAATTTTTTGGAGATTTAGTATAATTTTAAAAAATTTCGAATTTATTAGAGATTTGCCCCCACTAAATTTTTTTTAAAAGATTTAAGGGTAGTTATGTTATTTTGACAAATATATGAGTCTCACTTGTAAATATCAATGAAAAATGATATAAAAAATTTAGGCATTTAAAGATTAACTAATATGTTACAAAATAGGTTAACTCTCTCATTTGTTTTATGTTTATACATTGAACTAAATTTAGGGCTTGTAGTCCTCTTCTTTGTTTTATGTTTATATGTTAGAATTGAAAATTAGGGTTTGTAGTCCTCTTTTTGTGGTTTATTTTTTAAATGTTAAATTAAAATTAGCGCCTGTAATTCTTTGTTGTATTTTATTTGTTACATGTTGAATTGAAAATATGAAATTGGGGTTTGCAATCATCTCTTATGTTTTGTTTTTTATGTATTGAATTGAAACTAAGATTTGTAATTCTGTATTTATTTTTCTATGTTCAAATAAAATTGGGACTTATAGTCATCTTCTATGATTTATTTTTTTATATATTTAATTGATATTTGGGTTTGTAGTCATCTCTAGTATTTTATTTTTATATGTTGAATTGGAATTTAGATTTGTAGTCTTCTCATTAGTTTTATTTTTATTTGTAGAATTAGAATTGAGACTTGTAGTCCTCTATTATAATTAAACTAAATTATTTTGATTTGGTAGCTTGAATAGTTTTGTTGTGATAAGTTAAGTGCTTCATATACCTAAGTTTAGTTTACTAGAATAATTATAGTTTAAGTTAATTTCGATTGTATGTTAAAATTTAATGATGAATATTAAGTTTGTGATTGAACAAATTAATTTTTGAATTAGTTATGAAAATTTTTCTTAAAATTTAATATATGATTGAGCCTAATTTTGCGGTTCAAAATTTTTTTGTTAGGTCTAATAAATAAATCGTAATGAGTTTTTTTTTGTTGGTTCATTTTGTATATCGCTCATGTATATGAATTGCGCCTTTAATTGGTATTCTATTAACACCAAGTTCCAATGTTTGATGGAGCCAACAGTCAATCCAAAGGTCATAGTGAATTAGGTCAGCAAATTAGATCAGTAAATTAGGTCTCAATAATATTACTCTTTTGTGAATATTTTAAATTTTGATATTAATATAATTTAGGTTGCCCCCACTAGAGAAGATGTCTGGCTCCGCCCCTGACGACAATGGTGGTTATGGGTGGCAACGAGGGTGGTGGGTACTTGTAGTGGGTGGCGACTGGTGGGTGGTGTTGTTTGGTGGTGGATGGTGGTGGTTGTGGCGGCGATGGGTGATGGTGGTGGTGCGTGCCAGTAATGGGTATTGGCAGTGGATGGTGGTGGTGCGTGCCAGCGATGAGTGGTGGTGGGAGTGGACGATGATGGTTGGTGGTGGTAGCGGTGGTTAGAGGTATCAAATGTGTCAAGTTAAACGGTTATGTGTCGGGTTAAATCGGTGATGGGTGAAAAATATGTAAACCCGTTTAGTTTTAAAAAAATTATATTAACAAATTTTAATACTCTATTTTTTTTTACTGTCAACTTTACTTGTCTAACAAAAGAGAAATTTTTAGTCAAATCTCACATAAAAATCAGACTTAAAGGCTAAAAAATAAGCAAATCAGTCATCTCCATCTCTCTTCATTTGCTGATGTGGGATAAAAACAAAAAATATTGGTTTGCCTTTGTCTTTGAACTGTTTCTCATTTCTCCATCTCCCCTTCTTTTGTCTTTGAACTACTGCTTTACTTTTTTTTTTGTATTAATTTTTTTACTTCTTTTTTTTGGCTAATTTTTTAAAATAATTATTAATTTATTATTATATTAATTTTATTAAATGGATAAACATGTGATAAACGGTTTGACAAGTCTCACACGAACACAACTCGTTTATTAAACGTGTTTGACGGGTCAACCCATTTATCACTCAAATTCATTAAGATCTCACTCAAATCCACTTAATTCGTGTTAGTTAATCGTGTCGTGTCGAATTTTGATAAGTCTAGTGGTGGTGGATAGTGGTGGTGATGGATGGTTATGGTTGATGGTGGTGTTGGGCGGTGGTGAGTGGTGCTTTGTAGCGATTATGGGTGTTGGTTATAATGAACGGCGGTGGGTGGTGGCAGTGGTGGTGGGTTATGGCAGTGGTGGATGGTGGTGGGCGATAATGGGGTGGTGGACAATGGTGGTGACAATTTGTGGCGCTTGTGGGAGGTGGTGGTAGTTTGTGGCATCTGTGGGGGGTTGGGGGTGACAATAATGTGTGGTTGTCGTTGGTGATTGTGTTGGGTGGTGGTGAGTGGTGGCAGTGGCTATGGATGGTGGGTGATGGCGATAGGTGTTGGTGGTTTGTGGTGACTATGGGTGTTGGTTATAGTGGAAGGCAGTGGTGGAGGCAATAGTAGTGTTGACGGTGAATGGTTGTGGTGGTGGTGGGCGATGAAGGGGGGTAGTGGTGATGGTGGCGATGATGGGTGTCGACGATGATGATGGTGGGAGGCGGTGATCAAAGTGGAAGACAGTGTTGGTGGTGATGATGATGGTAGTGATAATAAGTATAAATGGTAAAAAAATTTAAATAACTTCTTTGGGTAAGAATATTTTTGTGAAATATTGGTTTTTTGAACCTTTAATTTTAAAAGTATTGAAGTTGGACCTACATGCATAAAAGTTTCCAACTCTGTAGGGAGATGATTTTATTAAACCCTTCCGGATCCTCTGTGACCCAATTCTCGATTTCTCCAGGTCCAGTATCTTTCAACTTTGAATAAAGGATAAATTACATGTTGACTCATTCAATTATGATCTTTTTTCATATTATTCTCTTAACTATCATATTTTCACATTATAGTTTAATTATGTGACTAGTTTTATATCGCTCTAATAATTAACGTTTTTTATAAATCTTACTACAAATTATTTTATTTTGGTCACCGAACTATGCAATTTTTTTCAATTTATCACAACATATTGAGGCGATGTGAAATAATTAAAGTAGGTGAAGGGAGTTATATAAAATAAGTAATAATTCAGGGGATAAAGTGCAATAGAGTTTATAGTTAAAGGGTTAAAGTGTAATTTCTTCAAAAGCAATCTCGGATTCTCTGGCTATGAACCCTAAAAAAATCTGTCCAAACTCTCGTTCTCACAGTCGACACACAGACTACTCCACCGTCTCTGTCTGTCTCTCTCTCTCTCTAGTCTCGACTCTCTGACGCAATTGCGGTCTCGTCTCTCTCTGTATTACGCCGCTCACGGCCTCACCTCTCAGGTAATTGTGTGTCAATGTTTTGGTGATTTAATCCACCGTTGAATGCAATTTTCCTTTGATCTTAATTTGTTTCTTTTCTCAACTGGGTGTTTTTCTAGTTTGATGTTGACGGAATTTTCGCTCCATGACGGTCTTTTCTTCTCTTTTTATATGCTTTAACGTTGTTTTTTTATATCAAATAATCCGAAAATAATTAATAGTTATATTCTGTTCATTTTCTCACTGTTATCGTTCTTTATTATCTGCGCATGCTTTATTTTAAATCATGGAGTGATATATTTAGGATTTAGGGTTTTACTGAGTTTTGCTACTGCAAATGGAGAATCGAACCCCCACCAATCAGCTCTCAGAAGAGGCAAGTTCTCAGCTCCAAGAAGGCATCAATTTGCTTTTCTCTCGTTGGACTGCACTTCAAATGGCCGTCCAGAACGAGTGGGGCGGCCGTGATTCTCGCCAGAGATCCCAACAGTTCGCCCTCGATATTTTCTCTTGCCTTACCCAATCAAAAGGTATTGTCATTTTATTTATTTGATTCAGTGGTTTATTCGTACGCAACCGTGTTTAGTTTATATCTTTATATACGTGTAGAGCTGAAGAAAAAAGAATCTTTTTGTTTTAATCTTCGTTTAGTTATTCACTTTATTGTCAAATGAATGGTTAATTGGGTTTGATTGAAATTAGCAAATGGATTTTTTGGTTTTTGAAGTTTATTTTTCTATTGACCTTTTAATTTTGTCCTTTTAATTTTTATATTTTTTGATTTCTGCTCAGGGAAACTATATATTGATGATTTGGAGAATATGCTTGATGAATTTATGCTTTCTCTCAACACTGAGATTGATGATGGAAGCATTGAGGAGGTATGTTTTCTTTAAGATTAGTTTCAGCAGTGAATTTTCACACTCTGTGTACGTTAAGTTAAATGATATAACCTCATAAAGATGATATATCATCCTTTGGTGTTTGCTGAGATGAATGAAAATTCGTTTCCCGTGGATAATTGTGGAAATGGATTGGTTCTTGCCAAGCCAATTTTTGTACTATGAATCTAATGGGAAATCAATCTTTTACCGAAGTTTTACTTTTTTTGTATCACTTTGATATTAGATGTTGAAACAATAAAGTAGGCAAGATCGAAATTACAATGTCACAGTTTACCCACCCAATGACTCTATTCCAATTTTACCTTGCATTTAATTATTTGATGTTTAACATACCTATTCTTTCTTTTATAGCAATTTACTCTCTTTTGGATGCCAAGAAAACACTTCACACATTTCTTTGTACAGTAAAATATTGATGGCTTGAAAGTTCAATATAAATTTTCCAAATGACTCTATTCGAATTTCACCTTCCATTTAATTATTTGATGTTTAACATACCTATTCTTTCGTCTATAGCATTTTACTCTCTTTTGGATGCCAAGACAACAGTTCACACATTTTTTGTACAGTAAAATATTGATGGCTTGAAAGTTCAATATAAATTTTCCAAATCATTTGACTGGAATATCTGGGCCTTCATTATTGGCTATTCCATTACATACAACCTATGTCAGCAAGATTCCTGACTCCCAGAATAGCTTAATAAAGAAAATTGCTCTCAAAATTCAAAATACATTCTTCTCTTTTTGGTGTTTAAATGTGTGCAAATTTGTTAAGTGAGCCTCATCTAATGGGGTGTTCACTCTTACTGTTTGTTTTATATTAAACAACACTACAGTAGAGATAATCTAAAAAGTAAAACAATTCCATGTCTGATTTTCTTCTTTATCTTAGGCATATCTAATAAGACTTTTAATACACTAGTCTGGAAGTGACATTATCAATCTCTGTCTCTCTCTGCATCTTAAAAGGTTTAAGGTTGTTTAGGGGTTGGTGAAAGCTTTTTTGCAGTTTCAAATTAAAACTATTTTAGTGATTTTCCATTCCTGGGGTGAGATGATATTCTGCCATTCTGGGTATGTTTAACTTGTCAAAGTTGGATTTTCTAGGCTAAAAATACTGCTTTCTAAACTAAGATTGCATTTTAATGAGAGCAACAAATATAGATGTGTATGTTGGTGGATACAACCTGCTGGACATATCCTACTACAACTAAATCTATAACTCCATATGTGCCATATTGAATTATTCAAATATCCTTGGCTTTTCAAGCATAAGCTAATGCAAATAGAACTAAATCAGTGGCAGACACTTTAAAATCAGATGATTCATAAATAGTTACTTGAAACATCTCAAAAGTGCCCTAGAAAGAATAATTTTAAATTTTTATACATTTTGGATTACAGTGGCTCATGTTTTGTGTGACCCTTGTCCTTGTGATTGCTGCGAAGTTTGAAACATTTAAGGGAGTATAAAACATCATTCAATAAATGTTGTGTTTTTCATTTTTCCCTTTAAAGCGAGATTGTTAGTGGGTGAGTTAAGAAGCATGTGGAGGAGCAAGAGAAACTATGGCAATTTCACAATTTTTGTCAAGAAGGTTAAGGTAATGAGAAATAATGTTGTGTGTCGTATATGATGTGTTTGCAGTTCATGGAAATTCCTCCTAGTTAAAGCTGATCCCAATATAATATTTTCATATCTACCTACAACAGTCCTCTACTCCTTTATATTTACTGGGTTGAAGTCTGTGACCTTGATTTTTCTTATGTGTGTATCATTTGGACTGACTTCATCCATCAGACAATCAATTACCCACAATACCCTACTTTCAAAGTATTACTGAATAGACGGGAGGATATCTTAGTTTTTATCGGAGAGACGACTTTATAACCAAATTGGAGAAGTACAACAAGGACGAGGGCATACCACCCATAACACATTAATTAAACAGATGAGAAATTTTTTTTAGCAGCTGTATTGCTTGCTGTTGTAAGGAACCTGGCCTCAATGGGTAGATTGGATGTGTCAAAATTCTTGTCACCTAATCAGTTAATACTTTGTTGACCTTTGATGGAAGATGAATTGGAGCTACTACCACTACTGGATGGATAACATCTATGGATCACATTTTTCACTGTATTTAGACGAGCGGAAGTGCTTGTTGTTTAGCGCTCTCTTGATCCTAATGCTTGTAGTTCATTACTTTTCGTGCTTTGTTGTAACTCTAATGCCACATTCTCATGCATTCCATTTGGTTTGATGACCTTCTTGATTGGTCATTTTGATGATACCCTATTTATAATGATGCTTAAACAGATTGCAGAGAAAATAATGTTTATGCATGAAGAATGTTTGGAAGGTAATTTTAGTTCTATTGTCCAACTAAAAGAAATCGCCCCTCCCACAAGTGCTGCTCTTCAATTCAAACAGGTAATCCTAATTCTCCTTGGTTGAAATCTTTTTTTTGCTCATAAATGAGAACAATTCTTGGTTTCTAATTGGTCCATTAACTTATGGTTGTGCTTTTTATTGTGTATAAAGCTTTTGTCCTAATGAAGGATAAAAACCAGAAAAGAATTGTTCGAATAGGCAATGATAATAGGTTGTGAAGCAAATCATTTTTTAATGCTCAACTGGTTCAGATATAGAAATTTCTACGAAGAGAATATCATGCTTACTGCCTAGATGTTGATGCATGTTGATGTTCAAAATAGTTGTGAAAACTTGGGGGTATTGAGCTTCTAAATGACGGTGCGTCAAGATCTTAAAACATGCTTGGGGGAGATTAGTAGTGTCCAAAATCTACGCATTAGGTTTTGTTGCTTGAGGCATGATTTTCATAGAATAAATTTATCCATTCGCATATCATGGGTGACATGCAGAGCTTATTAGCCAATGAATATGTGGCTTATGTAAGACTAGTGTATCTATTTAAGACTAGGCAACCTGCTCTCCTGCTCCCATACTTTGACCAATCCCAACCTCATGTATACACCTCAGCTCTTTAGGTAGCAAACATTTGATCATCTTCCCATTTCTATGTATAATGTAGGTAATTTCACCATCATGGTTGTTTTTGACTCGTGCCCTTTTTTTTTTCTATGAATTGTTGGTATTATTTTTTGCATCAAATCCTGTAACCGGTTCAATCTCCTCCTGTGTAGGGCAAATGGGATACAAAATAAACTACCATCACTAACACACCTCCATTGTTGTCATCCTCGCAAACAACCATCACCACATGCCCTCATAAAAATGGTCAAACCTAGTTGATCAATTCAAATGTAAACAAAAAATAGATAACTCCTATTGGTCTAAAATGATCAAACAAATCAACTATACAAGTATCTAAATTCTATTTCTTTTACACCAAAACAACTGAAACGTTTTCGTTTTGATGGAAACTAAATATTGAAGTTTGAATGTTTTGAGATGTTATGAAATGATTTGGTACATTATGACCAATGTTTTAGAAACAATTTTTGTATGAAATGTTTTTGAGTTGGCTGAAGCTATGCACCTAAATGAAGTTTTGATCCTTGCAACTATAATATCAGAGTTAAACAATTTCTAGCATAACCATCCTATTGATTGACCCATCGAAACCAATCACATTACCTATGTATGCCTAAAATTCTCTGGCACCTTTACCTGATCACAACTGAGAATCTTGTGAAAAAGCCAAAGCTCATATATCATTGATGGGTGACGATGGGGTGGTGGTGTTGTGATCTATTGGTGAAACCTCCTTCCAATTTTGATAACTGGTTAGTCTTGGCATGAACAAATTTGATCAAAAGATTATCTGGAGTTTAAACAGAATGTGTGGTATAGTGGATCTGGGCCTGGTAAAGGGCCAGCCCGAATGGAGCTCCAATTGTGTGTTCTTCATGGTGTTGATTGACTTGACTATTCATTCAGTGTTGATCTCTTTTGCACAAACACAGAGACATACTGACAATAAACACAACCACTGCATATGTGCGCACTTGCACACACTTGTAGACATGCACTCACAAGGAGATGACCTTCTCTGCATACACTCACTCAGATGCACACTTGTGAAGAGAATCTGAGGAGGTGAAGAGAGTTGGTGGAGGTGACTGTTATGGTGGTGGACATCATGCTAGTGATGGAGGATGGATGCATGTTATATGCAGTGTGCGTGAGTGTTCATATATATGCCAAAAACCCCATTACTTCAAGTATCCTGTTATTCAAGTCTTCTGAAAATCCAACTTTTTAATATTAGTAGTTATTTTGAATTAGCCACCAACTAAAGTTAAAAAAACTCTGCCTTTTTTTAAAATAAAAAATTAAACTAAAAGAAAGTTTGGCCCCAACGCCATAGTTCCAGACAAGTGCAAAGCATTATTTTGAAAACTATGACTTTCCAAAATGGAAAGAAAGACTAATTTTTGGGACAGAAGTAGTACTAGACATGGGATATTAAAGATTTGCCCAGCCATGGTGTTCATTGGGCACTTGAAATAACAAATAAATTTGAAAGCTAGATGTAATTAGTTGTGATAAGTATTGGTGAATGTGCATTCATTCCTGTGCTCAATTGTGGGAAGTAGTGGTGAATGTGCATTTATTCCTTTTTCTTTTGCTTCGTAACTTCATACAGGCTGTCAACGAAGACGATGACAGTAGCAGTGACGATGATGAAGAGGATGTCCCCAGAAAAGATGATGCATCCGAGATGGTAATTGATAATCCAGAATCCCAGTCAAGTTTAAGTGAAAAGGACATGATGATTGATGAGCCAAGGCTTAGTGAGGTGGCTGAAGCAGAGGATGGATGGACAGTTGTGGGATCTAGGCGGAGCAGAGGTAGAAGGAACTAGGTTGGAAATCTCAAGATCAACTATAGATAGTGTTTATTTATATTGTTTGTTACCTTTTTTTGATCCTTTTCTTCGTCAATCATTGTTCTTTTTCTAGGCTTGTTCTGTGTGCCTTAATTTTGACTTGCATTCTGCTGCCATGCCAAAGAAATAGAGTTTTTGGCATTTTCTGTTTGCCCGAATTAGCAATTCGTTTTAATAGAGCCGCGCATCATATTATCATCTGTGAACTATTCTAATCTTTTTGAAATTTGATCAAATCGATCGAGAATTTTATCATTTATTTCAGTAAAGAATCTTATCTTGCAAAAGAAGGGTAAATTATTTTTTACTGAAACTATTTTTGCAAGTGGGTCAAAAGTTCAATTTGTTGAAGGAATAAGTTTGGATCAAAATTTGCTATATAATCTATACAATGATTCAATATTTTAGACATGCAAAAAAATAAGAAGTAGAAATGAATTTATTATCTATACTATTTATAAATATTAGTTGTGAATTTTTTATTTAATTTTCTATTTTATCCATAATTTTATAATGAAGTCAGTAATACTCAACTATATATTTTTATATCATTTTTGTTTTTTATTTTTATTTGATTTTTATCTTGTTTTGGACTCTTTTATAAGAATTTTTATATTTTTTTTGAACTCATTTATTAGTAGTACAGATATATATAATTTTTTTAATATTAATTATTGCACAAGTGCGTTTCACGTGAATTATTTTGAGTTGTTATTTTTATTTCTTATTAATCATAAATCAAGTTATAAGATGACGGGAAATGTCTCGGACAAATGTTTAATATGATAATTATTGAAACACGTCACCAATCATGGTTATTAAGTTTTTTTTTATTACGCGTGAAATCTGAAGAGTAATCTTTTATTCGGTGCACACATATATGGATCACTTTGAGTTATAGTTTGTAAGAAAAATCATGTGTTAAATCTAGAGTGATTATGAATATGTTGAAACCAAAGGCAATCCTCCTACTATTTCCGAATAATTTATGGATAGATATGCAAAACTTGAGGAAAATAAAGCCTAATCAAAGCTTGTAAAAAGAAATAATTTAGCAAAATTAGAATATTGATACCAAGTAATGAACTATTTAAAAAACCAAAATGCAAGACTATGTTGCTTTGATGTTGCCTATAATATTTTGCTATTTTTAGGTATAATGCACAATAAAAACGTACGAAAGACAGTACCTATACCTATGTAACTAATAATAATCCATTGAATTCAAGAATTTATAGCACCTAAATTTTTGAAAATATAAAGTTTCACTTCTTCCACAACATGAATCCAAAAAACTCCTTCAATTGGTTTGAAGTTTTTTTTTTTATTTCAAATTAGTGTAGTAATAATGTTATGTATAGTATGTATTAATTTTTCTAGAACTGTAATAAATAAAATTAAAGTTATCTGCATAGCTAGTTTTAGTATTAATCAAATGAATTATTATTGGTTGGCTGAGATACTTTTGCTTGTAGGCAGAAACAAAAATATCTGTTGTTAGGACTTACAGAGAACCAATTAAAAGGCAAAAACAACAATATCATCAGATTAGACAAATACATCAATGTAGTAGGCGTAGCCATAAATCTAATTACCTTTAGGGAGGAAGCTTCCAAGCAGCAATCTTGATCTCAATGCTAGCAACTACGTTATCCTACAAGAAATTGCCAGTGAACTTTCCAATTATAGTTAATCGATCACATTTGTATGACTCACTTTTATATTAAAATTGAGATTGTCTGTCATATGACAATCTTGAAGTGAATACTTATATGTACAATGATATTATAGAGGTCTCGTTAATTTCTCTACAAAGGCCAATTAAAAGGCAATACAATACCTTATTCACCTTTGCAGCAACTCATTCAGTCGTCGGAACAACAGTTGGGTAGAAGTATAACCTTACAAGTTGATGACGTTAAGAAAATAACTATGTAGCTAAAGTTAATTACTTTCACTACTAACAAATTCTGATAATCAACCTAACTTTTACATCATTCAGATTTCAAAGATTGTCAAATTTTAGCTTCTCCAAGGATATTTGAGGCGGTAGACAATCAAAAGCTTGCCCATGCATAAAAACAAAAGAAGTAGCACATGGTTAGTTCAAGAATCAAGATGGTCCTCCATCTTTACCACCGATCATGGTAGAACTCCTGCAACTTTAAAACACAAAAGTAAGGCAGTGTAAACTAAAAATTGTTTTTAATGCTTTGGTGCATCAAGCTTTAGTCGGATTTATTATAATCGACATTAGTACATCATCTGAGTAGCAACAAGAACGCTAATTTAAGCCATGTCAAAAAATAAAAGAGTCTCACATTTATCGACGATTTCTTCTTACCTTTTGCAATCAGTTTTGGTTTAAATTCATCGCCTTCTCCTGCAGCTTACTACCAAGAAAATAAGTAAAAGAAATTAGCCATTGAATATGAATACATAAGCAAGTTGGACAAATTCAGTATTTTTATGAATCTGAAAAATTGAATAACTATTTTAGAGATGCAAATCAAGGATGAACTCACAAGTTTTAGTTTTCAATACTCTCACTTTATAATCGTCAATGGAGATAATTTCCAACAATATGGACTAATAGGTTATCGGTTGTAAGTAGGATTATTAAACATTGGAAATTTTATAAGGCACAAAAACTGACCGAACTTTTAATGGGTTACGGTTTGATAAGCATTTGCATTTAGAAAAAAAATTACCAATGATAAAATGGTCATTTAATAATTTTTTGTATGAAAAAGTACGAATTATTGGAAATTTTTTAATTTACATTTAACTTCTCTGGAGGTTTGTCTACAATAGACTCTTTCAGGTTTGGCAAATAGCATTAACCTCTTTTCTGCTTTAGTTGTCCATTTAGATTCTTCGGTCGTGCTATTTAAGGATAATTTGTGGTGAAATAGTGTTACCAGTAGCAAAAGAGAATAAGAAATGGCTTCTTCATGTTGTATATTTATAATGGTTATTTTAAAATACAATATTTTATTTACTATACATGGATATATAAATTAGGGGTAAATCTCATTTTGTCCTTGAAGATACAAAAATTCTCAGTTTGTCCTCTGAATGATTAATTTTTTTATATTATCCCCTCAAAAATAAAAATATTACAACGTGGCTCACTGTCATATTTTCATTTAATCGTCCGTTTATTTTGTAATTTCTGATTGATTGATTTGACACAAAACAATAATAAATGAAAATCACGTTGTAATCTTTTTATATTTTTGAGGGGTTAATGTAAAAAAATTAATCATTCGGGAGATAAACTGAAAATTTTTGCATCTTTAAGAGAATAAAATGAAAATTTTCCTATAAATTAATATATTAATATGCTTGTGAAACAACACCTCTTAGACCGTTAATGTCTCGGTTGACCAATACCGAACTATAAGTTCCATAAGTTCAAATTTTACAAATGCATGTGTTGGGCAAGTGAGTTGGTCATACACAATAATAATAATAATAAGAATAATAAAATAGAAATCTAAAAGTTGAAAGTTATGACATGAAGTGTAATTGCCCTTGCCAACAGTTGCATGCATTCACTAAAAGGGTAATGATTCCAACGTTTATTCAATTCTTTACCATTGAGTCACTTTGGTGGTTATTGCTAATTGCTCTTAAAAAAATACAATGGGTTGTATCAGATGAGAGAGCCGAACGGAAAGAAAAAACGGAGAGTTCAACAGTGAGTTTGAAGACTCTTAGCAATATTTTGACACCAAAACTTCTTTGCAATGAAATTAGTTTATTACCTTATTACTTTGTGATTCGATTTGGAAACGATCAATAGTTATTTGGATTACATTTATATTTATGAGTACATGTTTATGGAGAAACGATAGTTGAATTCTGAAATATAAAACGTCATAACTTGTTATACTAAATTTTATATTCAGAGAGACGAAAATTTATTTTAAAAACAGTGATTACACACGTCTATTGATAAATTTTCTTACTTGTTTATTTTATGTATTGCAGCATTCTAGACTTGACATACAACGTAGGCTTGTCAGCAAACTTGTGTCCCAGGGTGCCATAGACCGAGATTGATCGGATTAACTCTCCCAAGACCGAGGATGCATACTTAATAGAGAAGGGATTTTTTGTATGATTGAGACCGAGGGGGTACCGCCAATCATTAACTACCCTTGGGTGGTGCTTCTAGTGCAGAATAGGCTGATGTGACAAGAGAAAATCGCCCTATCACATCAGCCTGTCCAAAACCAAATCCCTTAAAACACGGAAGAACGCATGACTCTTACTAACATAACCAACCCAGGTCATAAGTGCTCAACATGAGACCATGAATGCATGCCATGAAACACCTGATGTTCGGGATGACAATGACAAGATAGGTGATGGACAAATGATAATAAATATTTGATCTCCTGAGTACTAATCAGTATTTTAAAATTTGACCTAGTCCGACGGATCAATTCAGTGAATCAGTGAATCGGCCCCCTAATTAGTTTGAGTCAATTAAAAGACCGTTTGTGTAAAAAATTCGGATTAAACCCGTTGAACCGGTCAAAAACCGGTAAACCCGTGAGGACTGGACGAGTTTAACAAATCGGCCGATTTAACTTTCTTCCTATAAATCTGAGATTTTTTTTTATTTGGGCATTTTTCCCCTTTTCGTTTTGCCCTAAATCGTTCCACTTCCACCAGACGAGCAGCCTCGCAACGCCTCCACCACCAACCAGCTACCAGACCAACCTCGCAATGCCTCCACCACCAACCAGCGACCAGACCAGCCTCCACTCCAACACCATCAGCGATCAGACCAACGAGCAGACCACCAGGCAGCAGCGGCTGAGCAGAGCTCCACTAGCGACTAAGCACAGCCTCCACCAGCGACGAGGTGAGTTCCCTCCCCCCCTTCTCCTCTCCCTTCTGTCTACTGACTCTACTCTCTCTCTCAGTATATATTTGTGGGTTGGCATTTTTTTTTGTGGATTACGAATATTTGTTGGATTTATTGCCTTATGTTTGTTGCTCCTGTAATTGTTCGTCAGTCCAGTCCTCAGTCTCTTCTCTCTCTCTCTCTCTCTCTCTCTCTTTGCTTCTCCCTTTCTTCTCTCTTTCAGTCTCTATCTCTCTCTCTCTCTTCTTTGCACTGCGTCGAAGTTGAGGTAGGAGCGATTCACTGGCCAGAGCTCCATCGTCGATTTC